ATATGTCATATGCGGAATGAATGATATGTATGGTTATGTTACAGTACGGGTCATTAGCAGCATACTATAATATACTGTACTACACGTCACCAACAATGAATGATTATGTTATAAGTCACCATAAAATAATGACAATGTACAGTGCAGATGACTTACAGAATACGGTGATATATATTTTATAATAATTAACAACATAGTGTGGCACATATGCACACTATTTATACAATGATGTATTGCAGTAAAGGCCACTTGCAGCATACTGTGATATATATGATGTAATTAATATAGTGTAGCTTGAAAGGACTTATTGCCTAGAACTGCAGAACAAAACCAGTAAGGAATAAAAACTCCCAAAGGATTGTGGAAACATTGCAATTGAAGCAGAAACTGTGAAGAATCAACTGTTGTTATTAAGCCTAAGAGACAGTACTCATAGGATGAGTTTCAAAGACCAATCAAATCAAAAGAGCTAACCAAATACCGGAATTAGCTGGATTTATGGGATCAGCTGAGAATATACCATCTGCTCCAATTGAGATAGAAGTTTATTATTTAAAGAAGCCAATCCACAAGTCAATGGGTTTATTACCAGGAATCTTGCAGCATACTGATCGATTCTAGTTCTACAGCTTCAATAGTTCAACCCGATTCAGCAATGAATGGGAGAAACTGCCTCCAGAGATGAAAAAAAGAAAAGGGATTGACACTAACAGCTATTGGGCATAATGTTCCAGTAAAAATAAAATTGGAAGTTACCCTTACTGTAGGGAACTTCTCTACGCCTCCTGACGTGTTGGTAATTGACATTGAGGAAAATGCAAATTGGGAACTGACTTCGTGTGGAAACTTGAATTTGAGGTAAGGCTAGCTTCACAGTATATGAACAGGAAATCCCTGTGCATTACATTAGAGGCTGAACTTCTAGTGCAACAAGGAGGGCCATTATTATTATACCACCAAGAAGTGAATACTCATATCAGAACTTAATAGGAATACATTTACATCTGGTGATTGAGGCATAATAGAACTAAACACTCCAGTGTGTCCTGAAGTGATAATGGTTTGAAGAACTCTCGTAGATCTGAAGAATAAAGATGTCATTACTAGAGCAATGAACCATAAATTTTGAGTCAAAGCTGGATGGAACATTGCAAAATGTGAAACTATACAGGTTGTACTTCCACATCAGAAGTAGTTACCTTAGGGGAAGATGTAAGAAGTATGATGCCAAATCCTCATATAAGGTCAGTTTACCATATGAGAGCTGTATGTAAGTGACTGTGGAGGTCTTTCAGCTTATCAGTGCCATGGGTTATATAACTTGATCATGGAATATCAAGATACTTTTCGCAATACTTCTCATGACTTAGGCTGGACAAATAAAATAACTCATAAGATTGTTACTGAAACTCAGAGGCATCACTAGGCACTTGCACATGGGGCCCATGCTCCCGATTCAATTTCACAGTGACCCGAATCCCAAGTTGGTATCTTGAAAATTCAGAACAGAAAACCATAATCCGTGTCATACTAAAACGCCAAACATTCCCAAGCTCTGAATTTTTTAACTAACTAGCAATGCCTCTGCTGAAAATTTGGCCACAATACGTCAATTGGCCAGATGACTCCATCTTGTAAATCAGGCTCATATTTTTAAACAAATAGAAACTCCATCACATCCGTGACCTTCCAATGGCTGAGCACTTAAGTGTTAAAAATTCACTGGATAGAGTAAGAAAGTGCTTATATTGGGGTAGGTGCTGGAGACCTGTAAAATAATCGGTGTAAATCATGTTAACTATGCTCTGAGCGAAAAGGTCCACATAAGAAACAGCATGGGCAACTATTGCAGTATAGAGAGTTGTTATCGATGTGTTTGGTTCTCTGTCTCAGTGTAACAGTGGGAGTATATACATCATGGCTGTGATGGATCATCGTTGCAAATACATCAGGGAGAGAACAGCAAACTGGGTAACTTCAGAGAAAGATCTACCAGTGGAGAGCCCAGAGTCCCTGTTTAAACCAATTCCAGAGGATAACCAAGGATAGAGCCAGCATTGGATTAATCGGCCACCTTTCTAGAGAGAACTCCTTCAAGTGACGATAATGGCAAGAGTCCAATCAATCTGCATACTTTTACCCCAAGAAAAGGAAACAACCTTAAAGATTTGGTGATTGGACAGTTTATTATGCTATTTTATATGTATATTAGGAGTACATTGTATCATGCATTTAATACCGAAAAAAAACAACAAAAAACAACAACAAAAAAGAAAAACACGTCTAAATTAAAATATAACAACATAGGCTTGCAATAGTGTTCTCTTCCTGGATTGTGAAGTCCCTTGGAAAAAGAAATTTCATGAAAGTTAAGATTCTAAACATTTTGAATAGCATGTAAACATAAAAGTACGATATAAATACGATACGCCGTGAAGCAGTCAGTTAATGAGTAATCAAAGAATATTTTGTGATTTTATTAATTCAGTGTCTTTTAATGGCTTAGACAATACGAAAATAGTCATTGTATTTATTTGTCTGCGAATTAATTAACAACGAGTTGGTTAGCGTGATTAGCCAAGTAAGTTTATAAGTTAATTAGACATACAATTGAGTTTTGCCTGTAGCAAACATTATTGAAGAAATAAATCAATTCGTTATCATTACGTGGACTGGAATCGGAATTATTTTTTCCAAATAATTCAAAAAGAACCGGCCCGACAATAGAACATATCACAACAATACTGATTTGATTGTGACAATACTTAAATATAAAATAAGTCTTTGAGACAAATCTTGTTGTTATTTTTTTTGTGAGGAATTTACCAATTCATTAATTCGAAAATACAATAACAACAATTTTTACGATAGAAAAATTATAATTTTAATTATTACAATGTTCCAACCCAGAGTATCAGGTCACTGTTGGTAACATTCTCTCGGTGGGTCAGCGGTAATTTTTATGGACTTACAACAGTAAAATCTAGAAGTCGATTCCTCGCGTGGACATAACAAATAGCCCAGTGTGGCTTTACTCTAAACAACAGAATCAAAAATCATCAGTAACAGTTACATTAAAATAAATTTAAATTTCAGAGAACGTTTAAAACCTCTGATGATGAGGACAATGTTTGTAGATGGCGCTAAATTAGCTTTTTAGTAAAATAAGATGGATAAAATATAGATAAAGGGTTTGTTTGAAGGCGAGCACAAAGCTACACAATGGGCTATCTGTGCTCTGCCCACCACGGGTATCGAAACCCGGTTACTAGCCTTATAAGTCTGAAGACTTACCGCTGTACCAATATGAGGCATAGATAATAGGAAATTCCTGAATATTATTTGGCTTTCATTACTTTACCAATAGTGTTTCAGCAATTATATTTTTGTTGATGTCTGGTTCTCTTCAAATGGTTTCGACGCTGTTTTCACTGATGTTTTTTTTTTCTTTTTTTGAGATGTTAAAAAACGTGTAAGAGTCCTTTAAAATGTTTCTGTGCTCATTTCTCCGACGTCAAAATGCTTACAAGAGTTGCACTTGCTTTTGTAGGTCTCTCCGCTGTTTATATTTTCAGGTGGGTAACCAGGAATCCATCTACACCAATATTTGTATTTTATCAGCTATGTAGTGTTAAAGTTTAAATAAAATTAAAACTGCAAGTAAAAGTTCAGTGGCGCTTTGTTGAAAACAAAAACGCCTTCATCCCAGGTTCAGGAACAACTCAAGCATTGTTTGACAAGTATTAGGTTTAAGAGATGTGGCTATTTTCCCCAAAATGTTCATTTATCGATAAAGCTGAAAACAAGACTGTGCTACGGGTGAAGGAGACGCTTCTGGTCTTTTAAAATAAATCGTGATTAAACCATTAACAAAACGTTACTCATAATTTAGGTATTTTAATTTCATTTACCTCATTCTACTAGATAGCTAATTTATCGTCACCTACAAACTTTATTCTCACTATCGAATAGTCTATAACATTCTTAAATATCTAAACTGTTTTACTGAATGTAACTTTTACCTGATGATTATCCGATACAATAGGTCGAAACATTGTATTAAAAAATACAATTAAAATTTCCCTACTATAAAAGTTGCTGTTATTGTAATCTTTAAAATTTTGTTGTCGAAACGTTATCTAAAAAATAAAGCTAGCTTTCTTGAAATATTCTGACTGAAAATGATAAATTTAATTTACTGCGCAACGGTGGGCTTTGTTATAAGATAAAAATAATACAAAAAATGACAATTATCATTTTTTAAAAATCACAAGTATTTATATTTTTGCTTCCTGAGTCCCACATGAAATTGTATTTATTTATTGCTTAACGATATAATATTCTTTATATCCACCAGGTGTAACTCAGAGAAATGCTTTTGGTTTTTATAAACAAGAT